CAAACCAGTTAGCATATTAAGTTTGTAATGTTTTTTTCTTCATCTATGACCTGTTGAGGTTAAAAATCGAAAATATTAAGCTCTGTACTGCCATTAACACAATGTTATGAACCGAAAAGATTAGGAATCTAAATCCGAAGTAGCTTCTCAGCTTTATTGGAGTAAAATGGTCCCTCCTACACTATCAAATAAGTGTGATCACAGCTCCAGAATAAATAAGGAATAACAGTATCTGCCAACTCACTTCACATGAAGGAGTCAACTCGTGCAGTCATTAGCCGGGGCAAAAGGAGGAGTTGTAAATGTCAACTTGATACAAAATATGAAAAGAAGCTGGTTCTCTGGAGATGCGTTAAAAGGCTTATCTGCTCTCTGTCAATCAAGCACATCGTGCTTGTGGGTGACGTTTTATGATATTACAAAAGCATGTGATCAATAGCGTTAGCCTGGCTCTACAGTCCTGTGACACTATGCTGATTAGGCAGATCTTACAGAATAAAGTACTCTTTCACCAATCAATATCGTTATAGGCAAGTCAGCCCTTTCTGGAATCAATGGTTTCAATCTAGGCCGACAAGCCTAGGCAAGCCTTTATTCTGGACCGGACCACTTACAACTGCCAGTTGATAGCAGATGAAGGCTATCTATTGAAGGGCCGATCTGCACCTCTTAATCTCTGCAATTTTCCATGGTTAGTGACACAGAACGTGCAATAAGAGAGATGTTGATCTCACATATCACATCATCACATGAAGTAACAGAGAACTGGACAACAGGAAATGGAAGAGGCTGCAGCATATTGCACTGCTTGATATTAAGGAGGGTCCTAACATGGGTTCTTAAGAATTTGGGTGATTACTTTCAATCAAAGGGTCCCAAGTCATTACACTTTCATGACAACATACAGATCTTACATTCACACAAATGACATGCATTAATAATGAACATGTCACTCTTTAAAGTCATCCCTAAAGACATCTACAGGCCCAAACTTGAATTTAGTGATCATACTGATACAATTGTTAGTTAGCCAAGTTGACTATACTGAGAGACATGTCACAGTGTCAAGTGTGAGGTAATGCCTAGCGGCTAGAGTTACACACTGACACAGACCAGGACATGACAATGCCACATTTATCTGTTACATTGACTCTTTGAGGCAGATTCCTTGCAATAACACATGATTTTAGACTGGCTCAGAATCTAGGACACTGACTGGTATCCAAAATGGTTTTAGGTGTCAGAGGTGAATTGTGGTTTAACGTCGTACTTACAAATATTTTGCTCATATGATGACGTGCATGCGTGTGTATGTGTGGCTGCTTGTACTAGCCCAGATTTAAGCTGGTTTTATAGTGCTAGCTCACTGAGATACCATGATGCTGCAGTTAAGCAGGAATACCCCTGACTCAGACACATTATAGTTTATACTGACTCCAAGCCAACCAGTCCTCGTACCCATTAATGCCGAGCGCCAGGCAGGGACCAACAAGTACCATATTTTAACGTCTTTTGGTATGATGCGGCCGGGGATCAAACCCGCAACCTTCCGCTCTCCAGGCGGACGCTCTAACTACTACACCTCTGAGACGGTCAAAATGGTTTTCAGATTATGGTATTACAGTCCAAAATTAACAGGCAATTGCTCTGAAACCAGAATCATTCAGGAATAAGTAAGATTTTATTTGGGATGACCACTTTTTGCCATTAAGGAGTTTGCAACTCAATAGTAATTTGTTGCAGAAAAGTGAAAAGAACTCTTTTTCTAACCCTGGATGCAGAATAACATCCAATTCAGAAATGATAAAATTCTTGAAAATGTTCCAGACAGTCAAATGACTACATTTTGAAACTTACACAGTTGAGATTTGCACAGATTTATAACAACCTGAAGAGTTCAATGGTGTGTTGCTATGGGTATCCATCAAGACTGTATGCAGATTACCTCAGTCTAACCTAACAAGCCTAAACCAGCCTTGGAGGAAGTCTAAGCAAGATCTATACAGCCATCTAAAACCCTGATCCTATCAATACATCCAGTACCCCTGAACTTCATATTTTGACACTAATGAACGTGCAGACGTATTTCTGCGATGAATTGAATACCGAGTATACTGTTTATACGCACCCGGTAAATAATTCTCATATTAATCAATATCTCTCCAGGGCTTAAGCTTTTATATCAGGATTAGAAAAGGAGTGAGCTGTTTACAAATCAATGTGGGATAGAGCACTCATTCACCTGGAACTGACTTTGGTATTTTATAACAAACGCGATCTGACTGTATATACTTTATGACATACAGATGCATAAAAAATCTTGTATAATAGGTTACGCTACACTGCAATAGTAAGTAATGACCAGGCCAATCTTCTTTTGCATATATTTTCACCAATAAATGGATATACCAGTAATCTATTTTTATTTGCCCACCCACCTGTTCACTATTTTAATGGATAAGAAAAACAGTATTATATATCTACAAAAGACAACAGAACCAACGGGTGAAACTATTTGTATAGTTGCACAGAAGTACAGTTGACTGGCAATAACTAACTTAGAAAGTGAGTGAGAATGGTTTTACGCCGTTGATTTGATACTGACAATCTTTTCTACCTGGAATTCCAATCAACATGATTATTTTCGTTTCAACCTATCCAATCCTATCTGTGAAAAAACTCTGTTCAGAATGATTTGCTGTAACCAACTCTGACCACCAAATCGAGTCTGTTGCCAGGTACAACCAGCATAATTAGCTGAATTCTTACTCTGAATCCCAACAGGTTTGACAAGTTTATCACTGTTATTACATGTTCTTGTATAATAAATCTGTTTGTTCACAATGCACAAACAAGACATAAGCTAAAATATCATCAAGAATATGATCCACATCAGGACACCATCACTGCACATAAAATATTGGGCAGTGGATATTAAGCATGCATGGCCTATTGGGCTCCAGCTCTATATGTATTGAGTTTCACACTATCAGGAAGTAAGCATCACCAAATGTGAGCAATATGAATTTGCTGATCCTATATTCATGAACAAGTCCCACTGTTTACAGTCACAGGTGAATAACACAACAATTCAATCAATGTGAATCGGAGCAAGTTATGGCATGACCACAGACATGAAGACTATGGGGACAAATGAGATCGCTCCACTGGAGTTAGTCATCTACACCTGCAAACACCTTTGGGTGGTTCTGCTGCATCACAAGGGGCTGTGGGGTAGCCTAGTACTAGTACTAGTAGTTAAAGCAATTCACTCGTCATGCCGAAGACCCGGGTTCAATTTCCCACATGGGTACAATGTGTGAGCAGAGGCGGATACAGCTTTTTGAGAAAGGGGGGTTGCACATTATTGAGAAAAGGGGGTGCTCACTCCATTTTCACCCCTTTTTATGGGTCATTTAATACACTTTCAGGATAAAAGAGGAGGTGCGCACCCCTGCACCCCTCCTTTAGATCCACCTATGTGTGTGAGGCCCATTTCTGGTGTCCACCTGCCGTGATAGTGGTGGAATATTGCTTAAACCGGCATAAAACCAAACTCACTCACTCACTCACTCACTCTGCTGCATCACTACACCCACATGTATGTATAGTAACTGGGAGATGTTATCAACAAAATGTAATTTTTTAAGTAAAAATCTTCAGGAACTTCAAGGGATTCAAGTGTTCCACTACCATTCGCATAGAGGAAGGAGATAAGCAAAATAGCATGAGTCAGGATAAGGAAAAATATATGTGTTTGTTTTCTTTCACGTCTTGTCAGAACTACCAAATCAGTGTAAGTAAAACATAAGTGATTTGTGAAAAAGTCTCTTCATGTGAGGTAATTGACACTTCCAGAAACTTAACTTTCTGCACCAGGAATACCAAGAAAAAGAAATGAAGAATCCACAGAGTTTGAAACAGATCCATTTGGAAGGGAACCATAAACTTTTTAGGAAACTACTTTATTCAGTCCAAGACCTTGCCACTGTACACAAACATCTATAACAAAAACAAACTGAGCACGATATAAATGCAGTATGAATATTTCCTCCTTTCACTCCAGGATTCCCATGCCAACATTCTTCTCAGTGCAAACAAATCCCTACAGACACTAGGATAGCCAGCACATACATATCATGTAATCAAATCCTAGGCCTGCTTAGTGGGAAGCCATAATGCCATCAGCAAAATCTGGAGTGTAGCAATATTAAGCAGGATCAGAAGGCAACTTGATGAATGGGCTGCAAAAACTCTACCCAATTTGGGAAGTGAACCTAGGCTATCCCTATAATGAGCAAACACCTCAAACACGAGTCTATGCCACTGTCTGACTGCCGTTACAAACCTGCTGGAGAAGAAAGTCATAGATTTCTTGTCATAGCCACAAGAAACCAACAACTAGCTCACCAATAAATCAGGGAATGTCTTATACAATATAAACCAAAAATAAATACCAGATGTAGGTCACGGCCCCCGTGGAATGAGTAGCATGCTATTACAGCAGAAATGTCTGACGTCATGCTGCTACTCAAGACAAGATATGGTACGTATCGTGTAGTTAACTGTCAGCAGTGATGCACGCAATGTTGTGCACTGACGTACAGTGGTGGTACCACCCTTATGTCACACAAGAACACAATTTCTGGTATGTGGAATCTTCTACAATATCATTTTGAACCGAAAATCTTTATCTGGTGCTTGATGTTTTTAGCCACAGTATATTAATCTGACAAACCCCTTAATGTGTTATCTTACAAAATTAGGATTATAATCAATCTTTGACTCCTATTAGCAAATATTAATACCATATATTGCTATTTGGCTCCTCCCTTGCTTTTGTACACTGATACATACTGACACTATGAAACCTACCTTCATCAGTAGATACATGTCCATAGACAAACTGTGTTCAGCATCACATGAACATAGGTTATATAAATATGCTATCACTTTTTATACTAGTAAATCCAAGAGAAAATCTGTGAGGAGACATTTACCTTGAATTGTCCGTTTGAAGAAGGCTTTGCATGCCTCACATGACGACACACCATAGTGGTATCCTGATGCTACATCACCACAAACAAGGCAGATTCTCTTCGTTCCATCTGCATTGTCTGACTCCACCGACAAAGCGCTGGTACAGAAATCCATTTTGCCATTCTCCACACTACAAGGCGAGATATTTCCACTATCGCCACTGTCACCATAGGAGCGGTCAGACCCATAGTCATCATGGGTGCCGTAATCTCCAAACACATCCCGTCCGAAACTTTCATCAAGAGATGGTTGTGAACATCGACTTAATCCAAGAGGGCTGCTAGGTTCACATTTTATACTGGAGTCCAGATCCATACTTGACCATAGGGAAGTGGGTGGAAAATCTAATGTCCCGGAACCCTGAAACAAACCAAAACAATAAGATTTGCGATCCTGGCAGAAACACAACTGATCGTCCCTGAATGCATCTACATATCTCACAGCCGATCAGCATTACCATACATTCAACAGCTTTCAATATTAAAACCCTGTGGACAAAGAAGAATAAATTTTCAGCATTATTCTAGATGCATGAATGACCAAACACTGAAACAAGATCCAAGGATGCTAATAGAGGCTTATCAAAAAATTTCTAAATGACATTTATCATTTACTCAAAATATGTACATGGACATCTGCTTCCAACTTTTAATGAAAGTCAAGTCTAAAAAGCAGAGTTATTCATGAAGCATTATGCTGATTCAGTCATAATCCTGTAACTCTAAGTTCCTTGCCTCCATGAAGCTGATGCCTGTGCTAGAGCAGACACTGTAAACACTGGCGGTTCCTCCTTAAATATGTACAGGTAGCAGAACTCCCCATTCTCACACTCCAAGCTAATAATAAAACTGGCACTCGACCAATCTGTGTCATCACTGCCTATGTTCGTGGAGTGAACGTAGTAGATACACATCTACACTCTCGCTTTCGTGACGTATGCTAGCCAACATTTACGTATTACTTGTGTGCATCATTCAAAGACGTCTCATGTAAGAATGACGCGCTCAGGTGAAATGGGAAACCACACTGGCGTGCGGCTGAATACCATTTCAAGGATATATCGGGATCTAACAGTAAGTGCAGGAGGGCTGAAAAAAGTGATCAGCATAGTGTTTATCAATATTTGTCCTGACAGACTCGGCTGAAGCTTCTGCACATCTGCTCCATCGTTCCCCTTCAGGGAGCATGAAGAACTTCTAGCTCCATATTTCACAACATGACCAGAGATGATAGGCACCATGCTGGCATAGTACTGAAAGAAGCTGATGTTGGCCAGTTTTAATTAGCCAATGCTGGTAGGTGATATGAGGTATTTACTACCCCTTACCTGGCATATCAAAACTGGCAGAGATATAAAAACCTGGTGTTGTTTGAACAGCCCCCTGCTTGGTGCCTATAGGTTGTGTTTTATCATCATGATCTTTGCTTATCACCACAACAGAACAATACACATGGTCCAGTGAACAGATAACATTACAAAATTGTACTCAGCTTTGTGCTTACCACATATTTCTATCAAATTATACCCTGACTAGCTATATGAAAGGATAGACTAGACCACGACTTGGGGAGCCACTATTAAGATTCTTCACATCTAATATACAGGGTACTCAAGCACAAATAGTAAATCAAACAATTCATGCTATTATCTTGTGTTGTATCAACAAGAACTTAATATTACTGCTTCTATAAGAAAAGTTCTTTCAACAGGATAATGTTGCCTTTGCAGGTATTCACATTCCTTTATCAGTAAATATTGTATTAAACTCATCTATTGTAGCCTAAAGGTAGTAACTTTTTAAAATACATGGTTTAAAGTATATACATAAACAATCATAATCTAAGTTCTGTGGATACTATTGTTATTACGAATCTATTGCTTTGTGCAATAGGAACAGCATCTGACACCTCATCACTACATCAAAGACATCCAGAGACTTTTTAAGCTCTTTTACATGTAATAAAAACTTTGTGTTGTTTTATTCTTCCAAAGAGAAAATGTTATTCTACATACCAGTTTTGAAAGAAGCAGTTCCTCACAAGACAAGTGAAACAAGGTACAGTGAGACAGACAGACTGGAGATGTTCCCTGACTGCACAGGGAGGCAGGTTGTCAAGTCTGTGACTAGTTAATGCTCAGACACTAACACATAACAACAACACATCGCCCACATACCATAAAACCAGCACAGCTAATGCATGGCCACAAATAGATCGCACTACTGGAAGGATTCATATATTTCAGTGGACTATGGCACAATGTTAGTTTACTCGTTTAATGACATACACAAGATAGACAGTGAAATTACACAAAAAGACATTGTACAGCTGGCTAGATCACAAAAAAAACACATATATACATCACAAATGTCATGACATCTATGCTACAAATGCTGTGGTATGTTTTGTTCCCCTGACCATCAGCAGCCTGACCATGACAACCATGAGTACATGTTACAGCCCAGCTGGAGGTGTATAACCACTTGGAGAGGAGGACATTACCTTACGCTGTGAATCCATTACTGTCGGTGCCACACACAACAAAACCACTTATTATGCACAATGTCAAGAGCACCACAAACTGAATATATGCCTATGCTAATACTCCTGGATTATCTGTTTCAAACACTGACAGCTGCACCAGAGCCCCTGCATCTCAATTAACTGTTCAAATTGCACAGTCATTTCCTTCTCCACTTCTTGTAATGCTAAATCACTGTCACCAAAACAAATCCATCAGTAAGGAGCAGTTTAGCGAAATGTTTCAGCCAAGAAGGACAGAAAATATATCAGTCGCAATAAAATCGGTGTTTTGACTCCCACGTAGCACAACCTGCTTTTGATGGAATTAAGTGAGAAGATATCCCGACCTGAGATGGTAGTTGCAAGGGTGCCCTGAGATTCTTGAGACACCTAGTTGGCAACAGCAAAAGAGTCAATGGTTCCGTCTGCTGGACACTTTGGCTTCACCAGCCTTGCACAATCAATATATAGGATATGAGGAATGAAAAGCTGTCCCAGTCCACAGCACTGCTGCCACCTCTCGCTTGGAAGATTGAAACTACCACTGACAGTAATTCACTCTGATCCCTTATGTAGTATACTCTCATTACATACTCCCAACTGTTTGGGTAATTGTGTTTTTTCAATACATAAAGTGTATATCTGATTCATTTCGGTGTCTAGATCTATGCAATGATTTAATCAAACCGAACATCAAAGAAATCAGATAGCTGTTTTACAGGTGACTAACCATTACAGAAAGACAACTTGGAGTGTTTATATATTGACGTCAATGCTCCGGGGAGGGTATACTTGAATTTCATATTAAACAGAGCAGAACAATAATAGCAGCATAAACAAGTTTGAGGTAAACAACAATAAATTTGAAGCAAAAACATCTACTCATGTAACATTTGTCAACAAGTGTTGTCGATGTCAGGTTGATATACTCGAGGCTATGCTCTGCTCAATGTGCATATTAAGGGGATCATGCTTTATCACTTGAAGTACAAGACTCTCTATAAAGTCATCCATGCTCAGGACATTGAACTATGTTTCACACAATGCACTCAAAACACCTTTGACTTTCACAAAAAAACACATTCATTACTTGCCTGAAACAACAGAGCAGAACCACACTGTCAACTCTTTTCTATATTTTGTATATGGCATGGTATATATCAAATGGTGTGATGATTGTAACATAATGAGATTTGTATGTGCACACACACAAGTGAGCCATGCTCCAGCTGTCAACCATAGGGAAAATAGGTCATAACTGATGGCAGCTGTAGGCTGGATGTACAGTCATGTGGAACATGGGGGTGTGCTGCCCTGACATAGGAGGACTTCTCACTGGAGCATACTATGCTCTCTTGTGTGTGCTGTCCTCACTAGAGTGACAGTGGCCTGGGCTGTCCTCACTGGGGTTATAACTGGCTTGACTATCCTCACTTGCGTGACAAGAGGCAGGACTGGGCTGTCCTCACTGGGGCTACAGGGGGCTGAATGTACAGTCATGTATATGTACAGTTATGTGTATGAGCCTGGGCTGGGATGCCCTCACTAAGGTGACAGGAGGTAGGGCTGGGCTGTCCTCACTACGGTTACAGGAGGCAGGGCTGGGCTGTCCTCACTGAGGTTACAGTGGCCAGGGCTGTCCTCACAGGCGTTACAGCTGGCTTGGCTATCCCCACTTGCAGTCATGTAAATGTGCCTGGGCTGGGCTGGGCTGTCCTCACAAGGGTTACAGGGTGCAGAGGTGGGATGTCCTCACTGAGGTTACAGTGGCCTGGGCTGTCCTCACAGGCGTTACAGCTGGCTTGGCTATCCCCGCTTGCATGACATGGTGCTTTATGTACAGTTATGTAAATATGCCTGGGCTGGGCTGTCCTTGCTTGGATTATAGGAGGCAGAGCTGGGCTGTCCTAACTGGGGATACAGTGGGTTTGGCTATCCTCACAGGGGTTACAGTGGGCTGAATGTACGGGTCATGTGTATGTGCCTGGGCTATGCTGGGCTCTGCAGGGCTGTGCTGGGCTATGCTGGGCTCTGCAGGGCTATGCTGGTCTCTGCAGGGCTGTGCTGGGCTGGGCTGACTATGGGTACAGTGGGCTCACCATGCTTCTCCTTACTAGGATTTTGCTATTTTTCTACACCCAAAATGGATTGCTGTGTTATGTCCACACTAGGGAGTGTTCTGTACTGTTGTCACTGTATGTTTTTCTCCAAGGAAGCTTTCCCCACTCTCAGATGTGTTGACAACATCAAGTGTCTCACTGGGTTCGGCTGCCCTCAACCAGGATGTACAGTGCGGATCAGGATGAACCCACCTAATTCATCACCAAGGGTGAAATTGCCACATCACGGCTGATTACATAACACGTTTGTCTGGACATCTAGCATATGCCCAACCACATCACTGTTAACTTTGAATTATTTCAATAATATATGACAATATCCCACCTACTTCAAACAATACCAATTCCTTGTCGAACACATGAATGCATTAACACCACAGCAATATACCTAATCAAATCTTGATTATCTTACCGGACTCAAGGCATGCCACATACTCAAGCCAGAAAACTGGCAGTTACCTTCTACCATCGGGCAATAAAATGTAATTCAGCTGATAAAACATTTACTCCACTGTTTCAACACAGCCATCTCAAGTGGTTCAGGTAAATCGGACTCACTACCATACAGGGCTAGGTATTCAGGCCCCTGCTGCTGCAGCAGATGGTGGCAGCTGTGGGAGTCAGCCAGGTGCACTTCATTCACAGACGGAGACATGCATAAACAGCTCTCACTTGACCACAGAGAGAGTTCAATTCAGGCCAATTTTAAACCCATCC